CACCCGCCCCCCCCCTCCCCCCCCCCCCCTGCCACTCCAGGTCCGGCCCCACTCAACTCACCCCCCTCCCCACCACTCCAGGTCCAGCCCTGCTCTACCCTGACCCCCAGCCGCTCCAGGTCAAGACCCGCTCCACCAGCCCCAGCTGCTCCGGGTCCACCCTGCTCTACCCCACCTCAGCACTGCTCTGGGTCCGGGCCTGCTCCACCCCTGCCCCTGGTCACTCTGGGCCCAGGCCCACTCCATCCCTGCTCCAACTTCTCCAAATCCAGCCCTGCTCTATCCCACCTCCCTGCTGCGCAAGGTCCAGCCCCGCCATACCCCCCTAACCACTGCTACATGTCCAGGCCTGCTCCACCCCACCTCCACGCAGCTGATCTGAGTCCATTCCCACAATATCCCCACTCCCTGCCACTCCAGGTCTGCCCTACTCTACCCCCCCTCACCACTGCTCCAGATCCAGGCCCGCTTCACCACCCTCCTAGCTGCTACAGTTCTGGCCCTGCACCACCATCACCCCTGGCCACTCTAGGTCCAGCCCCACTTCACTCCCTCATCCACTCCCAAGTCCAGTCCCGCTCTATACCCGCTCCCTGCTGCTCCAGGTCTAGGCCCACTCCACTTCCCCAGCCACTCTGGGTCCAGCCCCACTCAACGCCCATCCCCGCTGCTCCATGTGCACCCCCTCTCTACCCCTCCTCCATTGCTCCAGGTTCAGCCCCACTCCACCCCCCTGGCCACTCCAGATCCGGCTTCATTCTGTCCCCCTCCCTACCACTCTGGGTCTAGCCCCACTCCACCCTCCTGCTCTGCATCTGCCTGTCCCATACCTGACTCCTTCTCTGCCTGCCTCCTCCCCCTCCCTGTTGGCTGTTCTGGGGGGCAGTGGGACCAGGTGGTGGGGGGATGCTGCCAACATGATCTCCCCCTTTGCCTTCAGAAAGGGAGGAGGGCAGAAGCCCTGCTGCTCAGGTGACAGGGGCGTGTTCACTGGCGCGACAAACTTCCCTAGCAGTGGCTCAGACTTGGGCATGCACAGCCCAAGACGCACAGCCACGTGCCACCCACCCTCTCAGTGATGCATGCGCAGTTGCCTATAAGTGTTACGGACAGACAGATACACAGACAGACAGACAGACTAGGCCTTTTATTATATTAGAATATCCTTCCATTTCATTTATATCAAGCACAAAGCCACTAGGTAAAACAGCTGGTTTATTTTCCTCTGTTTTGCTTCTTGCGGAGTAATTTCATTTTGTTGTAGGAGGAAAAAAACTATCTGAAAGTACCAAAAAAATGCAGTTACAATGCTACGGTATTGCCAGTTAGAGGAGTGAAATTGAAATAGTTTGTAGCTCTTAGTCCTGAGGGACTATTTCTATAAGTAAATTTTTATTGGTGTCAAGACTCTTAATCTATTCCTTAAGTTTTACACAACTTAAAGGTTTTGTACATTTGAAACTAACCCAAATTCACCTATTTTTCCTCCAGTCTTAGGTTCTGTTCCTCTCATCTCTGTGGAGGATTACCAGGAGGGAGGGATCCGCATAGTTTGCCGATCAGCTGGCTGGTTCCCAGAGCCCAAGGTGATATGGAGAGATCCCAGTGGGCAGCATTTGCCATCACTTCCTAAAACAAAAGCTCAACAGGATAATGGCCTATTTGAAACTGAAACTGCTATTGTTATAAAAGAATATACAAACTCAAAATTGTCATGTTGGATAAGAGACAAGTACCTTAGCCAAGGGAAGGAATCAACCATTTATATATCAGGTCAGTTTTTGTTTGAATCCTCCAGCGAAATCACTGCCACCCAGTGCAATGTGAAATGTAAAACAAATCAAAGTCAAGCCAGAAAACATGCCTACTTTCTCCCACACCCCCACCACAAAGAGATTGTTGCTTTTCCAGTTCACAATTCATACATTGGAACTACTTTAACTATTATTATTCAGAACTTTGAACTACATCTAAATTTAACCATAACTTTGTATTTTATGAACATCTATTTTTTTTTATTTAAAAACATACCTCTGAGGAAAGACTCATTCAAATTAGTGTCAGGATGTTCCACCACACCTTTTAGTGTACATACATTTCTTAATGTGCTAATTATACAGTATGAACACCTGAGAATTGTCAATTATTTACTGTGTAAAATGTGAATAAGACAGAGATTTGGATTAATGATATAGACATCTCTGTGTGACTTGTCCTTAGTTCCACATTGGAATCCAGCCTGGCCCTGCTCCAGCAGAAAATAAAGCATTAGGGACATCCATTTTTTAAATATAGAGTATCTAGGCACCCTATGGCTTTCAAGCCTGATCAGAATTAAAATTTGATCACCTAGAAATCTAACTCCTGTCTACGATTCCTTGTGATCAAACTGGAGAAGAACCTGAAGTCCATCAAAGTCCCTAGAGGACCCAGGTCCTCACAGCAATGCCTAGTTCATATTGACATCATAGACATCTGTTCAAAATTAGAAGGTATCTGCATCTTGAACATAATAGGCTGATGGCTACAGCACCTTCTCAGGAAATAAGAGACTTGTGAGTTTTAGGCTCTCCACAACCTGAGGCCACTCACATTGTCCAAGAGTGCCCTAAGCCCCAGTCAAACAGCTAGGCTTCTCAGTTCTGGGGTCAGAAGTAGAGCAAGCTATCACAGCAGGAGTGTGTCTTAGTGCTGAGACCGCTTCCTGTGAAAGGAGAGGCTTATGGTGCAGTCACTGCTGTAGCTTGCTCTTGCTTTTGTATTTTAACCTGCTACTGACTGGGGTTAAAAGCATAAACGATCCAAGCAATGGGGACCACAACCCGGAATTCTGTCCCCCTCCAGACTAAGAGTATCCACAGAGCGGGTTAGTGCAGATCTGTAGGCGTGCTATAAATTTTTGCCCCCTTTCCATGCACTCTCTTCAGCTAGGACATAAACCCTTAGAGGGACTGACATTCTACACTGTGTTATGTCAGGGCGGGAATACAAGTCACCTTTGGTCGCCTTTGTACCATCAGAAAAAAATGTTCAGGTGACACAAAGTGAAAGCAAATAGAAATCCCTACCTTTTCTTGTACCACAAGTGCCCAAGTGGCTGGCTCTGATAGAAAGCAATAATCATTTATTCTGGGCTTTTTTTGCTGCCAGTGTCACTTTGCTGATGGCTGCAGAGTGTGGGCAGGCCTGTGTTTTCCAGCTGCCCACTCCAGGGTCTTGAGGAGCCTGATCCTGCAAAACCCAGGAATTCCTGGGCACAATCAGTTCCTCTAAGCCTTGAAGAGCCTCCCTGGCTTTCTCTACTAACGAGATGCAACACACAATCTCCACAGAAACATCTGGGTAAGTGGGAAAAGTCAAGATTTTCTCGCTTACTCAGATGCATTCCCAGAATCTACTAGAGAGCTTCTAGGTAAGAGGGAAAATTCCAGCCTTCCCTACATGCAGCCCCAGAGATGCCAGTAAGTGGTGAAACTATGGACCTGTTAACCAGATGCATGGAGTCATGGGACACCAGGGAGTCTTCTGTGTCTCCATGCTGACCACACCATCCTTAAGTAAGGTAGACCAAGGGCACCTTCACACCAATATCTAATTTAAGATTTTTTTGCATTAATTTTGCTGTATTAATGCAACCCTGTTTTGCAGCAAGACCTTGAACCACTTGAAGAGTAGCCAGACAGAGTTAGCAGCAACTTTGCTCAGCTAGCACAAAAACCCAGTGTAAAGGAAGCCTTAGATTCTTTTGAAAATCTCACTCTGTTTCAGTGGTTAAAATGCTGTGAGGAGAACAGCAAGTAAAGAATATTTTCTAATTCCAATTTTTGGGAAAATTAGAATTATGCTTCTTTTAAAAATCTGGGAGCAATATTATATTTTCCAAAAATTCTCTGAATGTATCACTTCTGGCTCATCTATTTCTAAAAACTAAGAGAGAAATTCTTTGAAGGTGTAAGTCCATTAGACTTCCTAACTCAAAGTTGTTACAGAGCAAGAAATCTTATTCCTATATATATGGTCCCAGAGGAGCACTGAATCAAACCAATCCTGTTCTTTTGCCCAGAATTCCATGTGGACACTAGACAGTGTTGTGGGACTTCTGTTGTTACTTTTTTTTCTCAAACCAATCGCAGGTACCCTGTTTTTCAGATCCATTTTTCCCTCAGATGAATACCTTGATGGTGACTCTGATTTTTACCCTGGTGGTTTCGTTGGGTCTCTTTGTCTTGACCATTTATCTTTTCAAGCTAAGAAGTAAGTACGGGGTAGGGGGGACCGGGAGATGAAAGTAATATAGTGAATTTAGCAAGAAATTGTCTTCTGATAATTGAAACATAGTATAAATGAGACTTGACCCCAGACCAAGCAAAGAGGATAATAAATATAGATGCACTGCTCCCTAAGCAGATCACAGGAGGACAGGTTACTAAAGATGTCTACACCACCTCCGCCCAGCAAAAGGCTGCACTGTTCTGAGGCATGTTGCTCCCCCACCATGAACGCTGCCTCCTGGAATGGAAGTAATGGAGCTGCCTTTGTGTCAGGCTGGAAATGCGGCAATATGCTCTCACAAGATGATGATTTTGATAGGTGTCATGTCCTGACCATAAAGATGAAAAGCCTGAGATTTCACTTTTTTCTTACATATGGCAAGCTTGTATTCAGTCAAGCTGTCAGTCCCCAAATATATGTATGTGGTCCCCAAGCCCCCAAATAAATAATGAACTCCACATATTTTAAAGTTAATGAGAATAATGTTCCCTGCAAAATCAACCTAAACAATGAACCAATGAACCTTTATCTGGTGATAGGGATGGGATTCAGTCCATCCAGTGACAGATACACTTATAGTGTCTTTCCTCTGATTGTGTCTTACGTAGGTGACCTTCTGAGACAACTTGGTGAGTTTTTCTCCCTCTTAATGCAGCCTTTTTCCATTATATTAAATGCTCCTACTTACCAATTGTGCTGACTATCACTGTACTCTGTACTCCCTCCAGTAACAACGAGCAACATTCCATTTTTCCTGGTCACCTAAGTGGCCATATTTTGGTCATCTACAGGTCATTCCAGGCACTTGCACAGGCAGAGGAATTCTGTTCCTGGCTGCATAGCTCTCCATGTATGGACAGCTACATAGTTGCAGAGACTGTAGCAGCCAGGGCCCCTAAGAGTGCTCCTTGTAAACACTTAGCAGCTTTGTTACACAAAACTTTTGGACTTGGAATCAGAACTAGAAAAGGATTCTGCATGTATGCATTCCCATTCCTCCCCACCCAAGCCCCAAATATTTTAGGAGCTAGAAAGACCTGGAAAGTTAGAAGCCCTGAGTTGTAAGACACCTTCATGTGGAGAAGGCTGGAACATAGGTCTCTCTCACTTTCCAGCATGGCATTCAAACCACCACCTCCCAGTTCAGCCATTATTGTGGCCCTTCTCTAATGCTCTTTTTGAAGCAGGCCCTCTAGGCAGCCTCGAAGGAGAGGTCTGTGGGACATATATGGAACAAGAAAGAAAAGTGCAGGCTATAGCATGGGAAGCTCAATGAAGTGGCTTCTACTTTGTGAGGGAGGGGTCCTGGGTCCATTGCTCCTAGTGGGACAGAAGCTTCCTCCTGCACTACCATCTATTTTTTTCCAATGATGACATTAATGGCTCAGCTCAAAAGCAGCAGCGGAGGAGGGACTTTGCTTGGCTGATGTGGTGCTGCTGTTAGAGCACTGTGCTTTGGAAGTCATAGAAAGACCAATGTTTAAGCCGCCTCTGGCTAGGGAGTGGGCTAGAAATCAGATCTTCTAAATTCCCAGGTATGCGCCCTAGCCCTTGAACAACTGTGGGGGAGTGGGGAATGGGAGAGCTCACTTTTGCTTTTTCCCTTCCCACTGTCTTTGTGACTACACAGGCACACTTAGTTGTCTTTGTGCCCAAGAACAGAATTCCTCCTAGTGTGTAAGTGCCAAAAAGGTCACTTAGCTAACTAAAAGGTGTCCACTTAAGTGATCAGGAAAATATACTATTCCACCTAAACTCTCTATAGGATTTCATAGAGTCTCTGGCTCTTCTTCTGGGGGAAAATCTGTTTGTCATGGAGTTTCATTTTTTTCTCATTTTGAGTAGAAGGGTATCTAACTTCTGAGTGTTCTTTTAATTGTGCTTGAAAGACTTATTTGGGGAAAAAAGGTTTTGCAGCAATTCTTAAGCCCAACTTTCTCCATTTACCCAGATGTGCCCTTAGAGATCCTGAGACAGATCTGGGTAAGTTGGGAAACTCAGATTTTCTCCAAGGATGCATCTGGGTAAATGGGGAAAGCTAGGTGGGTGCTCTCAAACCCCATGAGAAAACACTGATTCTGTTCTACACCATTATCAGGTGGGGCAAAGGATGACATGAGTTTTGCCCAATGAAGCAAATGGTGTTTTGCCCATTGATGTATCATGGCACAGGTGACCATCATTGGCAATGTCTATTCCTAGTTTCAGTGAGAGGGTTACTTAGTAGGACTTGATGTTTTCTCACCTCTTTCTTGAATGGGAACTACTGCATCAGTGGTATGATGAAACAGTATCTTTACAAACTCTCCAATATTTCCCCCCCTTTCTGACCCATATTACCTTGTCTTTGCCTGGATGCTTGGCCAGCTGCAGTTCATCAAGAGGCCTTTTATTGATGAATATTCTGTGAGGAGTTCTCATTCCTATTTTTTTCCCTTGATTGCAGGGTGGAGAAGACATGCCATCTGTCCAGGTAATGGAAGTGCATAATGAATCAATAACAAAAACTCACTCTTTTTGAGGTTACCTGCGCCTTTTTCTTATGCAGTCAGACTGTTGCAGTGACTGAAAGCTTTGGGCAAGGTTGACTTTTTGCTAAGATGAAAGAACTCAAAAAATTATGCAGCCAAAGTTGTTGTTTTGGGAACATAACCCAGGATGGACGTAGGTGGAGTAGGCAAAGCTGTGCCAGGCTCTGGGGGAAGACACAGTACCGCCTACCTGCTGTCCCTGGTGGGGGCCCCAGCGTGGGCTTCTAAGGGTGCCTGAATCCCAGGTGGGCAATGAGGTGTCCCTTCCCCTACAGGGCTGAATTGCCCAGCCAGCAAACCCGCCCTGATGGAGAGGTGCAGGGGAGCTGTTAGCAAAGGCCCTGCCCATGCTGCACTACCCCCTTGCTCTGCAGGGAGTCACAGGGGGACCTTTTCATTCTGATTTGACATAAGCCCGCACGGCTCCTGCCCCCTCTGTCAATTTACTGCACAATGACAGGGACCACTGCTACTGGACCCACCACTCCAGCTCCAGCATCTGTGCCTTACAGAACAGCACTTGCTATATCTTCTTTTTGGCGGTGCCCAGAGGCAGCACAGGGCACTGTTTGCTCAGCTCCGGCCCACTCGGTCACAAAGTGTTAGGCACCTTAAGGCATCTACATGTGGGTTAAGGCTCCTTAAATAATCACACCTACATTTGATACCTGCTTGATGCAGGTATTTAGGTGTGATTAGACTAAAATCACCATTTTTTAAAGCACATTACAGACACAAAACGTGTAGACCCGTGCCCTTAATGCACGTTAAAATGGCTAATGCGCCTTAAATCACCACATGCAGATGCGCACACACACACACATAAAACACTAATAAAAGACTCATACTCATTCATACAAGATATCATCTTAAAAATAATACAGGTGGAAAAAGGAATTCTACAATCAGTAATTCACAGTCACTTGGAACTCAAGAAAGAAGTTGAGTCTTCCCCATAATTCTAGCTTTTAAGCAGCTCTGATCTCATCCAGTGGTCTTGACAACAGAATCATAGAATCATAAGAGAAGTAGGGCTGGGAGGGACCTCCAGAGGTCATCTTGCCCAACCCCTTCTCTCCCTATCCAAACTATCCTATACAAACTATCCTATACAAACCATAATCTAAACTGCCAATCCTGACCCAATGTATGCCTAACACCCTAGCCTGCCAGAGGTAAAGCAGGGGAACCACGGTAGCCAAAGTCCTGCTTCTATGAAGTGTCAATATATGCTCAAGAGATCTTGGGTATAGCGCTACATCCTCCACTACAGAAGGAGGCAAAAAAAAAAACCCAACCCCCAAAGTCCATACCAATCTGACCATTAGGTAAAATCTTTCCTGACCTCAAAAATAGGGATGGGTGTGACCCTGAGTGGAGGGGAAAGACTCTCTAGCCAACAACCTCAAGCATTGGCCACAACAGAAGCATTCGCACACCCCAATCAAAGTCCCCAGCCTTGGCTGTAGCCACCACCCAATGCCTCTGGGAAGGCTTTAAAACATCCCGACACATACACCAGAAAAGGGGGAGTGGGAGGGAGGCCACCAGCCCAGAAGCACAGGGAATACCAATGGTATAAAATAAACATACCTACTCCATAACTGATAGCTGCCCAATTTCTTCTTGAACACCTCCAGTGATGGAGAGTCCACAATTTTCCTCCTTAGTCTATTCCCTTGCCTCACGATTCTAATAGTGAAGAAGTTTTTATGGATATCCATGCTGAACTTACTTTGCTGCAGTTTCAAGGCATTACTCTGCATCTCCTGTCCACGGCAAGAAAGAAAAGATGCTTTCCCTCTTCTTCATGGTAACTAAGTATTTAAAGACTGTTATCATGCTCCCTCTTAATTGCCTCTTCCCCATCTGAACACGCCTCCCTCCTTCAGCCTCTATAACTAATATAGATCTAGCCCCCTAGCATATTAGTAAAGTACCTAGTTTCTCTTTAACTGGAGAAAAATATGTGTCATATTCTATGTGATGATGCACCCCACCACCTGCACCCACTTTTCCAAATCCTAGATCTACCCATTAATATGTCACACTGCATCCATTGATTATTTTACCATATAATTTTCAAAGAGAGAAAGGGAAATTTAGTATCAAGAACATTATGGGCAATAGAAGTTCTGGTAAGTACCAATACTTCTGTGAAATGTATGGCCTCTAATGTATAAACAGTCACACCATGTCCAGGAATTCATTGAGATTTATTTTAGATTGAAGTTGTATAACTTATTTCTTCCAAATCATAATATTTTATACAACACTGAACACTCCCAATATATTTTTTTGACTGAGCTTTCATGTTCAATTCTGTGTTTCATTTCAGGGCTGGGCAGAACTGCGGCACCTGTGGAGGAAAGTAAGAGTATCACCTTGAGGGAAAACATCTTTCTCTGCTTTGCTGAGTGTGGCAGGACATCAGTGTTAAGGGCAGAGCTCACCCACCCCCTGCTTTTTACATCCCGTTATGAGATACATTATTTCCCCTCAAACACAGTCATGGGGCCAGGGGAGAGTCCAGCTCCTCTGCCTGCCCCACCTCAGCCTGCCTGAGCACTGCCTCCTGCTGAGTTTTCTGAGCCCCCTCCCTCCCCCGCCCCTGCCCAGTCTGGCTGCACGGACCTCAGCATCCCCCCAACTCCCACAGGCAAAGCCCCCCCCATTCTTAGTCCAGCAGTAACCCCTAGTGGCTGGTGTTCAGATCTCCCTCACTGCCTCTGGAAAGAGCAACAAACACAAGAACCATGGTTCATACAAGAGAGACCAGACAGGACGCTGTGCCTGTCCTTAAGTCCTTCAGGTCCTTAGGGTGATAAGGAACTCCAGAAAGACAACAGTGGAAAAGTTACGAGAATGCGAAGAGGGAGAGACATCAGGATTGGGAGAAATGACAAGAAAGGTTGGACAACAGTGAGAAAGTATGGGAAGGTGATCAGCAAGGTACAGTGAGAGCAGGAGGCCCCAGATAAAATGGCCTAGTATAGAGAGATGACAAACTGAAGCAATTGGAAGAGACTGAGGTTTAGTGAGAGTGGCTGGATGGACAGCTGGGTCATCTGAACTGCTGTCTTTCCTCCTACAAAGGGTTGATTTTCTCTAATCTTCCATTTTCTGCTGCCCACTACCTTTTTCTCCCTCCTCTCCACCATGATCCTCATTCAGTTGTCTTTCCCTTTCCTGTTCAATACAACTCTCTCTATTCCCTGAGATCTCTTCCACTGTGCCTGTAGTAACCTCTCCCCTTGTTCTCCCACTTGTTTCCTCCCAAAAGTCTCCTGTCTCTCCCACTGAAAGAGAATGAGGGCTCAGAAGCATTTCCCTGTTCTCTCCAAGGATGAATGAAAGTATTTCCTTTCCTCTCCTTGATTCGCAGGGCAGGATCCTCTGATGTAACAGCACTGCTCCACTCTGTCACCTCTGCTCCACTAATGTGCAGAAGGGCAGAGTCCTCATCACACATGTGTTGTGACTAAATGTAGAAAACCCTGGGACCTGCAGTGGTCTCCATACTTCCTCTTGTTTTTATAAAGTCTTCTGGGGCTCCCCTCTGACATGAGGGTCTCTAGTCCCTTCCCTGAGGGCAGGTGGGTGCAGGAGGGGAATGATCCTGAGTCCCAGCCCTGACCCAGCAGGTTTAGTCTCTGTCCTTGACTCATCTCTGCCTGCAGGAAGTGAATCTGCCCTGGCCTCTGCTGAGGCCTCAGAGCTCCTTCCCATTCAGAGCTGGGTAAATGCTGGAGGAAGGAGACTGTTGAGGCTGATGCTGTCACTGAAATTATCAAACCCTCTCCCTTGGACCAAGCTCCACTCTTGATGCTCTGGTTCTCTCCTTTCTATGCAGTGACAGTGACTCTGGATCCAGACACGGCTCATCCGCAGCTCGTCCTGTCTGAGGATCGGGGAAGTGTGAAATGGACAGGGACATGGCAGCAACTGCCTGACAGTGCTCAGAGATTTGACTCTGAGTGCTGTGTGCTGGGCTGTGAGCGACTCTTCTCTGGGAGACACTGGTGGGAGGTGAAGGTGGTGGCGGGGGGATACTGGGCCGTGGGGATTGCCAGAGAGTCTGTGAGGAGAAAGGGATGGATCTGCTTTGGCCCCGAGCAGGGGATCTGGGGTGTGCAGCACTGGGGGGACGTGTTCCAGCCTCTCACAGGCCCTGATCGCACGCGCTTGTCCCCAAGCTCAGTGCCCAGCAGTGTCCGGGTGTATCTGGACTGTGCAGGGAGGCAGGTTTGGTTTTTTGATGCTGACACTGAGGCCCCGATCTTCACCTTCTCGCTGCCCTCGTTTACTGGGGACAGAATCCGGCCCTTCTTCTGGCTGGAGGATACAACCGTGCAGTTCACATTCCACACTGCACCACCAATGCCACCTTGCACTGCAGCAGAGGGGGGGTCTCTTAGTTGGCTGCTCTAGCCTCAGTCTTGCTCATCTCTATGACCCTGGAGGACTCCTCTCTTCCTGGAGTGTTTCAGCCCTGCAGTCTGTGCCCCTGGAGGAGCAGGGTCGGGTCCTGCACGGTCAGGCCACAGGGAGCAGGAAATGACTCAGGTGGAAAGACCAATCTGTAACCTTCTTTCTCAGCCTGTGTATGACTCAGGGATAAAGCAAGGGAAAGGAGGAATTGTAGGATGCTGTTGATCCAGGAGGCTCTTTCATTGCAGCTCATCCATTCAGAGTCCCTAAGTCATGAGAAGTGCAAATCTCGTCCTTTTTCCCTATGTCTGGTTCCTGAACAATGCCTCCCTTGTGATTGGCTGCCCTCACATTTATGGTAATAAACAATCTTTGATAAATATGAGGACACCTCCTGTCCAGTTCCCATTCTTCTCATTTGGATATTTAATTTCCTGAGTGTACATTGTTTGGAGGCACTGACCAAACTGATTTCCTTCTCTGAAACAATTCAGCATCACACTCTGGTGAGACTGTGGGCAGTACTGGGTGATGTGCTGCTGTGGCCATGTACAACTGGACTGCTGCCGACTTCCCCTTCCAGATAATCTAAAAAAAGAAATTTAAAAGAAGTTCAGTTCATTTCTTCCAGTCATTGATGTGTACGCACTCAGGATAGCGCTGTTCTTGTAAGTGCATAAATTCACCCCTGCAGCAGTAATAGTGATGGCTCATGACTGGCCCAGGCTCATTCAAGTTCTGAGGTGAGCAGCTTTACACCATGGGCTTCCAGGGTTAAAAGTCAATAGTCTGAACCAGTGTTTTCAAGAGGAGGGGCAGTACAGCAGGTCTTAACTGAACTTTCTCATTGAGTTATTTCTGATCAGTTTGTGACTTCTTTCTGGTCAAATGAAAGTAAAAGATGAAACATATGAAGTGTTTTCAGGCTCCTGTGGATATTGCAGGTTTCTTTCCCTTTTAGTGAGTTGCAGTTTCAAGATGACCAAACTATTTCAACTTTCAATCTACTGCAGAAATAGGGTCAAAATTACCATGAGAAAATTTGTGGTGTCTTCAGTCTCCTTCACTATAGTGATACACTCTGAAGACTGAAAAGTCCTTCTTAGCAATTGCTGGAAATGGTTCCCCCACTGTCAGGTTAAAGAGTCACGGCCTGAACATCACCCGAACACAGGTAGCCCCTGCCCTGCTTCCGCTGGGAGATATGTGGGGAACAGCTTGATGAGGAGCTAAGCTCTGCTGGGGACAGTGGCAGCGTTTGGATTCCCTCTTCTCATGTCTGCTCCCAGCCAAGGGGCAACACCCAAGGAAACCAGGTAGCGAGCAAGTGCAGGAAGACCACCCACCACCGCCACTGTCCCCTGCCAAGACTAGCACCTTGCATGGCCATGCCCTACGACTGGAGCCCCTGGGTCAGCCGGGGACAGCAGAAGTGGACAGGTCCCCCCTTCCAGTCCTCAGGGGCATAATTAGAATACACACCCTGCAGGAAACAGAGGACAGGAGGAGAGACAAGGAGAGGGAAGGGGAGGGGAAGGAGGAGATGGAAAAATTCTCACGCCCTTCAGGGGACCAAAAAAGACCCAATCTTCTGCTGATACTGTCTGGACCCTGCTGGCATACTGAGGCATCAAAGGTTGGAGGGAACGAAGGGCACTGGCTTTTTTTCTCAACAGCAGAAGCAGGGTGCAACTGCTGGATCATCCCCTGGGTGCAGCACACATGGGTAGAGCACATGCAGGTAGAGCACATGCAGGCACTTCCAGCATTAGAATATTCTGGAGGAAGAAATGACATAAGCACGTATATTTTTTAAAGATAAAACATTAGAAAATTCTGGAAAATATGTGAAATTCAAAAACTGTTAAAATGAAAATTCATAATGCAGGTAGTCAAAATGGATGAACACAGGCCCATGAAGAGAAGAGCTTTCCATATTCCATCCTTGTATATAGGTTGTAAAAAACATGAACATGTATAGTTTCTATGTTTTGTTTTGCTTTCCGTTTCACTCCATTATTGGTGCTAATGTTGTAACTGTAGGTAACTGGCCTGCTATAGGAACGGATGGCTTCCATAAGCTGCATATGAATGAACACCATACTCCTGTAACAAGAAATGCCAATAGCATAGTGGGCTGTATTAACATAATTTGCAAATCAAGGGATGTATTCCTTCAGCTCTATTCAGTACTGTTGGGTAGGGGTGTGTGAAGTCGGCCCTATTAGATTTGGGTTTGGATGTGACTTGAACCAGGGACAGTGATTTGATTACTTGATTCAGATCACTGCCCCTGATTCGATTTGACCAAATCCAAATCTGAAGATTCAATGCTGATTCAAAGAGTCAGCTATTTGGATGTAGACACAGCTTTAAATGCTTTTTCTACATACCTTGAGGTACCAGCACGGCTTGTGAACGCTGCGATGCTGGTGCGCATGGAGCGTCCCACAGAAGTGCGGGGAGGGACCTCCACATGCTGGGCAGCGAACCCAGAAGTGGACCGGAAGTACTTCTGGTCCACTTCCAGGTCCACCAGAAAGCATGCTGCCCCCCCACCCCTTTCCCCCCGCACCACCCAGCTTGGCAATCAACTGTGGGGTGACCTGGGTGCCCCCCCAAACCCAGGAGGCACCAGTTGCCAAGTTGGGGAGGCACAGGGGGGCCCTATGCACTCCCTGGCGGACCCAGAAATGAACTGGAAGTGCTTCTGGTCCACTTCTGAGTCTGCTGCCAAGCGTGCTGGGAAGCCCCCCACGCTCCTGTGGGATACTCCATGCGCCCCAGCATCACAGCATTCATGAGCCCCTGCTACCTAGAGGTGTATAGAAAAAACATTTAAAGCTGTGTCTATGTCCAAATCACCAAATCTTTCCAAATCTCTCTGAATTGATTCGGAGGGTTCCGGTTCAATTCGGAGAAATTAAAGGGTCCTCTGATTCAATTCAGATTCAGAGATTCAGCTACCAAATCGAGCCAAATCACCTTTGAATCGAATCAGGGACTGAAGCTTTACACAGCCCTGTTTTCTTCTGGATAAAAGACAACTAGGAAGTGGATTTGATCACACTCTTCAAATACCTGAAGGATGATTAGAAAGAGGATAGTGATAGACTATTCCCTGTGGCCACAAGGGACAGGACAAGACACAGAAGACTTAAATTGCAATGGGTAGTTTGGGTTGCATATTAAGACTAGTGTGCTTACTAGAAGGGTGGAGCACTTGAACACCTTCCAGAATTTACTTCCTGGGGAGGCTGTGGCACCTCCATCCTTGGAAGTTCTTAACAGCAGGGGAGACATCACTTGTCTGGGGTAGTATAGACAGGGATAATCCTGCCTTGAGCAGGGAGTCGCCCTAGATGACCTTCTGGGATCTCATCTAGCCCTACGTTCTGTGAACCTATAAAAGGATTATAAGAAATAATACCTTTAATAACAAGGGGCAGGACTCAATGATCTCTCCCCCTCTCCCGCCATTTTTCAATCACTCTTTGTTGGCAGATGCTGGTCTCAAACCACAATCAGGAACACTGCCCCACCTTCTTTATGGAGGAGGTTCCCTCCCTCTCATCCCAGAGCATATCGAAGGTGCCTTTTCCCTAATGGCCAAAGGCCATCTCTGGATTTTTGTCATGGAGCTGTTCCAGCAGCTTATGCAGGCTTGTCTCCTTTGTGAGTTGAAAAGCCTGGGTCTCCTTTTACAGAGGAAGAGGCAGGGCTACTTGGCCTCTGGGGCTTATGAAGCTCCTGGAAGACCTGCCATTGAAATGGTATCTCAGCCTTTCAGAGAACTCCTGGAAAAGGGTGATAGCCACGCTCACCAACTGTCTGCAGGGAGGCACACAGCCCTGCCTCCTGCCCAAACTGGAGCTCTAGTGGGGCCTGTCTTGCAACTCGTGACTCACCATCAACCATGTGCCAGGAAAACTTAGCCCCCACTCCACATTTGCCAGGTTGGCTCCAAATAGAGGCTGGGAGCTGGAGGAGAGGGTACAGGTACAGCTGACATAGCAGCTACTGAAAGGAAGCACCCCCACCCCTGCAGCCCATCTGCCCCTCCGGTGGGATTCAGGATGGTTGAAGGTGGCCTGGGGAAGGAAAAAGAAGGGAGGCCACCTGCTGACATACATACGCCTCTTCTTTCAGGAAGATTTGATGGCACCAGGCTGCCAACACAGTACCAGCTTTGACAGACATCAGAAGCAGGCAGAACACAGCAGGAGCCCAGTGGAGCAGCCATAAGGCAATCTAGTACAGTTGTCTTCTCATCCACAGCAGCATCCCCACCACCCCCTTCCCTACATCTCTCAATCTGCAGTGGGGCATCCTAACGCCTCCCTCACCCAAGTCCCCCCAGCCATGCACATCAGCCAAGGTCTTCAAATTAGCTCTGTACTCTCCTCAAATGCCACTCAACTCCCCTTCCCCTGCCCAATCTGCTCTGCTTCCTGGTCCCTGCCCTGCACCCTCCTGTTCAATCTGTCTCTGTGCTTTCTACTGCCTACCCTGTGCTCCCTGCCTGATCAGCTGCTCTGTCTCCTCCTCTCTGCCTTCTCTGCCCCTGTACTGCCTGTCCCCTCTGATCTGCCACATGCCACACATGAAAGCTGCCTGTGCCACTTGTGGTGCAAGTTACAAGTCAGCCACTCCTGACTTAAATAAATGCCTTGAAAACAGCTACATGCTTGCCCTGTAGGATGAAGTCCCCAGAGTTCTGACTAAACACTTGAAAATTCTTGTTTTGATCATTATAAGACACCAAACAGAATTTCTATCGTTTTGGAGGTTCGAAATAAAGAACATGGCTCTTTCTATTAAGAGAAGGCTCATATGATGGGAGATGAAATGACTGCACTGTTGCCAGAATGACTTTCACTTTCCAGCATGACAAATACTGCAAGTGGACAGCACATTTATCAGTCTAGAGCAAAAAGGGAGTTATTTGTAATCAGGCTGGGAAGACTGTGATAAGCTGCTTTGCAGCCAGAATCAACTGAAAAAGTTTATTATTCAAAAAACTTTCTTGACAAGACTGTAGACACCATTTTAAGGGGCTGATGTGCACAGAGGATTGTAAAGCTTCTCAGAAGTTTGGATCAGGTAGGTGAACTTTGAGTGAATTGGATTCTGAATACGGTTCAAATTGTATTTATAGAAATGTTAAATTACTGATTCATTTGTTTTGCCAGTGTGCCTCATTATAAACCAATAGATCTGCTCCTAATGTCATTCTAGTCAAAGAGAGAGGTGTAGCAATTATTCCTTCCTGCTCCCATGCAGTTACTGCCATCCATATTGTCTGGTTTTTACTCCCTTGAAAGTATCAAAAGAAAAAAAATATTTCTTAAACTAATCAAAAAGAAAACTGAACCTTGTATTTATTCTGAAATCAATGTGGGTAACCATGTATTTAAGTACTGCTGAATACAGAGAGAGAGCAGTCTCCAGGAAGATCAGTGGCTTCCATTGATGGGGTGGGGGTGGAGGAGCAGCGGGGTCATACGCTATACTGCAGGAGGACAGGGGGGCAGTAAGGTGGCACCCAATGCAGTGGGAAGGGACGGGAGCAGCGGGGTGGCCCCAACGTGGCGGGG